ACTGATCCAAGTTGTAAACAACAGCCAACTTTCACTTCCCTCTCAGAGTGACTGAAGTCTTACCCCATTTACTGTGCGTCTTCCACAGGTGGAATGAGAAGATAGCTTAGTTTAATGCAGCATTAATGTTCAGGGCTACAGCTTTTCTGAATGTATTTTTTTCTGTTAAATTTGTGCTATAGGGCAGCAGCTTTTCTAAATAACATACTATTGGGTCAATCATGTGGTCAAAAATAATATCTGGGGTTATCAAAAGCTTTAAAGAGATAATAATGATTTTGTTTCTCTACCCACACAAAAGATACCTGTCAAAAAAATCTATCAATATTGAAACTACTTAAAATCCACTTTGATCAGCTCAGATAGGCATATTTAAATCTCCTAACCTAAAGCTTTTATTACAGAGCTGTAAGTTCTCAAAAAGTTTGGGTTGTCTTGTGTAGTTTATCATTTCAAGTCCCGTCCATTCACTATTTTAAACCTTTATTTTATAATCAAGCATTGACATTTTGACCTTTCCTACTAACAGTTAACAAAAAATCAAACCGTTTCACACATACTTCCTTAAACCCTGTTTTTTTTTTTTATTGCAATTTATGTTTTAAGTTCAAGATAAACTATAATAAAATGCTAAAAAAAAATAAAATTGTTTGGTTGTTTATCTGCAGTGTGTATTACATCGCTAGGTTCCGACTTATATTTGGCTTAAACTGCACTTATGAAAAATAACAGTGAACAAAAATAAGTAAGCATTTTAAAAGCTTAAAACAGGTAAGCTCCTCATGTGGAATTAACACTTAAAGAGCACAAACAGACATGTACAAAATTTATATTTTTTCCAGTGTTTTCTAATAATTCCTTTGCGTTAGGAAAGATGAATGATCACAAAATGCTCAAACCTTATACATTCTTTAAATCAATTGTGTATCATCATGAAAACTTTGCCTTGTGTTTGACCTTGTTTCCATTTTAAAATCCTGATTCCATTTGATCTAGTTTACTTTTATTTTATTTGAAAGATTATGACCACTGATAAAACTGAATTTATTATATAAGGTTCATAGGGATTGCATGGCTAAATTTACTTACAACAGCCAAAACATAGAGCATAGAAAATAACTTGAATGTTAAAGCAGCAACAACTGGGATAACCTAATACTTGGCTGAAATGAGGAACCCTGCAGTAGATGGCATTATGTATTTTTTAAAAGGTCAAACATGGGAAAACCACCCTGCATGTGAAAATCATTCAACGTTAACATTTATGTACTTTTATAAAATTTCAAGCTGATGTACCTGAAACTGGCTGGCTGCCTCCAGTATTCCCTGAACATTTGAGTGTGTGAGGAGGGCTTTGCTGGTGTAGGTATACTCCAAGAGAGAGCGCATGGTCCCGCTGTCTAAGCCTTTTATTTCCACACGCTTCTCGTGAGTTTCCTTGAGTCCACTGCAAAACATGGCCCTGTTCGGACAAACATTGGGTTGGTGAAGCCAGAAGTCTCTGGCAATACCTTCACTCATAAACTAACTTTTATTTACCTGAAGTACTGACTGGCAGCAGCCAGAATAGCCCTGTGGCAGGGGAAGTCTTTCCCTTCAACACAGAGGGTCACATCGGTCAGTTCTCTGTTCACCCGCAATGTTTCCATCCCTCTCTGCAGCTCCACAGCCAGGCCTCCATCTTGCCAACATAGCTCAGTTCCACCTCCAGGCTTCTCTTTGTCGTCAGTCAGAGTTGGCCCATCTGCAAGTGGCAACACCGGACAGTCTGTCGTCCTCTCCAGGGAGCCACTCATCTTATTTCCCACCAGCAATTTCCACAGAAATACGGTTTTCACAGAAAAAAAGCAGTCCGCACCTTTAGGAACATCTGAAGGCTCAGACAGAGAGAAGAGAAAAACAAACCTTTGTGGTTCACGCTCAGAGCAGTTGTGACGGGTTGAGATGAGAATTCGTTTTTTTTTTTTTCGTCTGTCCTCATCATACTTCCTATTCCTGTTCTGTGAGGAAGATTCATATGCTGTTTCTCAACACTTCCTCTTCTATTAAGCTGAGTAGATTTCCCCTAATTTACCCAATATTCCACTTTTTGCAAGAAAAAAAGAAACAAAGCAAAAATGAAACAAATTTAAAACCATCCAAAGCCTCAGCAAAGTAAAATAACTTTAAAGGAAACCAATAAACAGCTAACAATTGATGAAATGAATGTTTAGGGAAGTCTAATAATTTGTTTTTCTCTTGTTTGGTTCACCTTCTCAGTCTTCTTGATAGCTAAAAACTGACAACTAAAACGAATAGATGCTGCTTATAAATTCAGTAAAGATTTTTATATATCTGTGCTTAACTTTATGGCAACCTGTCATAACCAAAAATGAACCCTTGTGTAAAATCCCCTAATGTTCTCCTTTCTGGTGGAGGATATAAGACCTAAATAATATTTTTGCAAAATTTTTATTAGACTTAGACAATGCATACCTAAAAAAAACAATGGTTTAGAGAGCAAACTTGAAAATGTAGCACTAGCAATTGATATATTACTAATCATATGAAGCTATAATATGTACAGGAACATAAGAAGAAAAATAGTTTGATTAGAATTTACCATTTCCAATCACAAATAGTCAATATGCAATATGTGTTAACTTACAAATTTAATATTGCTGGATCTAAATAGCAACGAAAGTAAAACTTGACATGACTTATGTACAAGTTCAGCTTTTGATTACACTGATACTGAAAGTAGAAGTAAACTTTCACTGTGGCCGTTATTTATACAACAACTCTTAATTTAAAAAAAGATCAAGATTAGGGTAACCAATGATAAAAAAGAAAAAGCAATTGAAGCATTTAGGGCTTCTGGTGTCATAAAAGCAATTAAGAATATATAATATAAGAGAAATCCCTCCTACAAGGCAGAGCACTGTTGTGCCTCTCGATATACGAGAGGATACAATGTCATTGTTAATTATTCAACCTTATCTGGATCTCACATTAGAGAAATTTATCTCTGCTTTTAACCCATCCTCTTGGGGTTTAGTGGGCTGCCATTGTTGGGTGCATGGGGAGCAGTGTGGGCTTAAGGATCTTGCTCAGAGAAGCAGAGTGGCAGTCTGTGGGAGTGGGGCTTTAACTCAGAACCTCAAGATTCCAAGCTCTATGCACTAATCACGAGGCTGCCATTGCTCCTTCAACTTACCAATGCAGCAAAAATAACAAAAAGGAACAGCAGCCAGGTAATAATATCTCACATTCCCACTTTACAGATTTCAAGTAAATTTTTGGTGGTTTAGCTCTTATGGTCATTGTTTGTGCTGACAAATGAGGAATTTGACTTTGGTTTCCAAATGACTCATATCGAAGTCCGCGGTCCAAAGCAACAACTGAACTCTTTAAAAAGCATATTTAAAGGGAGTAAAAGGACAGTATGTAAAGAAAAAAAAAAAAAGAATCATAGTAGTATTGAAGTATGCATTCTTTTTTTGTTTAAGTAAATACATAAAATTAGAAGGCAGATTGCAATAGTGCAGAGGCCCTGATTCTGTTAGATTGTGTTGTTCTAGAGGAATATTACCTGATAAACAAACAAACAATCAAAAGAGTCTATCAATAAAGTAATATAAGGCAATATTGTCTGTTTTGCCTAATGCTTAAGTCAAAGTAGAAAAGATCAGTCAACCTATTACTGCAAATTTGTTCCAGAAATTTGATATTTTTTTATATTTCAATAGATAACTCTGTATCTTAGTTTATTATGAATAATGAAGTTATACATTTAAGTAATTATTTATAAGAAATACATTTACATAAATTGGGTTATATTTTTTGCATACATTTTTTTTTCATTTTGATTATTATAATGCAGCCATCCCATTGGACCTCAAGCAGCCTAGATCTTATCCCCCCTCTTGTCTCCTCCACACTAGCGAAGGCGTTTTTATATTACAACCTCTCAGGCTGTAGTTATCCAATACAATTTTTTGACTACCTAACAAACCAAATTTTTGCTTCTATCATTTGAGTTCAATTGTTGCAAATGCAGCTATAAATAATGCATGTACGAAAAAATTTGTGAAAACCTAGCTAAATAAATATATGGAAACTCTTAAATCAACTTTATTGACTATATTCTACAATTCTGGTTTATCATTGCAGATGTTTACACAGCAGAACTCCACTACTATATTTGATTTCTAATCTAATAAAAAAGTCCTTTCTATATATAGCTAGTACCTTAAATATATATACATTTAAATCTTTACATTCAGACATGTACATTCAGATATACGTTAAGATATTATACATTTTTTATTTCTTTCTGCACCTGCACAGGTTTTATTATGCTGTTTTCTTTTAATGAATGAATTTATAAAATAAATAAATAAAAAAATAGAAAAAATTTATTAATGAAAGCAATTGATCCTAACTAACAAATGCAGGAGCAGTAAGACTGAATACACTCATAATATGTTACCTCTTCTACATACCGATATAATTCAGAATTATTTTTATTAGCAAATAGTTTTAAAGTCTAGTTCTAATCCACTGATACTTAAAGAATACAGATCATAAGACAAACCTGTATGTGTCCTAATTCACCACCAGGCTGCACTGTTGTTGCATTGATGTTTCCCACAAAGGTGGATTTGATCTCCTGACTTATAGCAGAGAAATAGGTCAGACGTGTTTTTAGGTTGTTACCTAGCAACGCAGAGCAAGTCGGCGCTTGATGATTATTGGGGGGAAAAAAAGTTATATTTCGTTGTGGTAGTTATATTGAGTCACATAGCTCTTAAACACTGTACTGTGAAAAAATGATAATTGCAGAACAAAGTGCGGGTGCTTTAACTTAAGACATTTGCGTGTGTCTTTCTTTTCTTCAACCAAAGGAAGTGGCTGTTCTGCAGGAACAGCCAGTTCAAGCTACGCAAACTACACCTGGGCGTTGCGCATGTGTCTGTTTTTTTTTTTTTTTTTAAACCTTACCTAAAGGGCGTGAATGTACTATGATGCAGCCTTTCATTTCCTCTTACAACACATACAGGAAGAATGAAGCACAGTCTGTCAAGATTGTGTCTGCCGAGAGTCAGAGGTGTTCAATATGAAGTTCTCTCTCTGGAGGCCAACTTTGCTGCTTTTCCTGGCTTTATCTGTAGGATGCGGTAAGAACAACATTTGTTTTTATATTCTTACGTGCCACCAACCTGAGCGTATAGTTAAACCGTCCACAATTCATGAGCCGTTCAAAAATATACTTGTGGATTTTTTTTTTAGGGACATGTTAACAGAACTTAATTTCTCTAACTAGATTTATTTTGGATAATTTACTTATACAAAAAAAAGATAAAAGGGACAATCATGAGTCCAAAGACTTATAAACATGTGTTTATATTACTTTCAATAACAATTATATCATTTTCATAGCCAATATTGCAACATTCTGTCGCAATTTTAAAGCTTTCCTCAGCAAGAAGTAGTTTATTCAAGTATGCTAAAAGTGCACTAATTTCATACTTAAAATCAGGCAGTGCACTTAGAGTTTACTTATTTTAAACTATATTTCATATACCTAACAAGAGTATAGTCAAGTGTACTTGACTATACTATTGTTTACTTTATTGTTTACAAAAGTATACTTTAGTAAACTTAAAAATGTCCCAATTTAGTTTGAAGAAGTATTACTTTAGTAATACTTCAAGTACACAAACAGTACATTGTTCGTTATACTTTCTAAACTTATACTTAAGTATTCTTGATAGAATTTACTTCAAGTATACTACTTTTTGCTAAGAGTTTGCTTAATTAGACCATTCAGGGAAAGTGATCTAATAAACAAATTACCCCCTCGGCAATAATCTTTTCCTGTTATCTAATTAATATTTTATTTTTATTTTAATGAAAAAAATGACATACTCTTCATACTTTAACTTCAGACTTTCAGTACTTTTAAATTTGAATTGCAATGAATGTAGCTTTTATTATTTTTATATTATTGATCATAAAGATAATATTAAAATATTTCTACTTTCATGGTTATAAAATGACAATAACAATTACTGTGAAAGTTATTATTGTTTGTAGTAGCAGAAGTATTAGACTTGATATTATATTCTATATGACCACACCTTAAAGAAAAGGCTTACAGCCCAGTTAAAATTGTTAGAAATAAATAATAACAATAATCTACATTTAATACTATAGTGAACAAAGAAGCCAAATTGACACAATGAAAGTGATGTAAAATATTGTGCAAAGAGAATTAAAATAATATAGTAACAGCTTGCAGCAGCAAAGTGGAAATGAATAAATTAGTGGTTGGTTTGGAGCAGAGCGTTCATTGGTGATGCAGCCTCTGTCAGGAAGCTACAGCTGAGACTGTTAGGTTTTCAAGTCTTACTTTAATTTAATCAGTTTACCATATATGGCCGACCGTCTCTTGGTCGGCCATACTGTAAATCTTCCCAGTTTTGGTTGTTTTTTATTGTTTTTTATTACAAACATTACAAATTTACGTCTGAGCTGTCTGCTTTTCTCCTTTTTTAAATGCCCCGGTTTGTTCTATCATGTTCTCTTCCAAACCAATGATGCTTCTACAGAACAGATATATTTCAACTAAAGTCAAATACTGCAAAGATTATTCTTTCCTAAAAAGGACAGTTGCTAGATTTCATGGTGTTAGAGTCAAGGGGCAAATAAAACAAACAATTTTCAAGATATATTTTCCAAAAACCTGAATCATACTATTTTTACTTCACCATTATTAAAAAATCCAAAGGATGTTTTTACCTTGTCTTCTCTGCATGTTAAATGTATATATTACTAAAAGGTATCATCATTGCATAACATCTAAGCTATGGTAAACCTTTTATCAGCTGTTATCCATTACCATCTGTGTTTTGTCTCCTTTGCCACACAGAGGCCAAAGTGACGACTGAGATCCAGACTGGACCTCTGTATCGTGTAGTTGGCTCTCGGCTCTCCATGTTCTGCAATGCCAGTGGCTTCTCCAACCCCAATTCTGAAAAAGGTTTTGAAATCCGCACGAAGCTAACTGGCATCCCTGGAAGAGAGATGAATGTTATTAGCTCCTCAGATGAACATTTTAGTTATAATCGTTTTATGCGTCGCATCGAGAGAAATGATATTAACCTCATACGCTCTGGTCCATGCTCAATCATATTTGAAATAAAAAACTTACTCAAGGAGGATGATGGGGAATATGAATGCACCGTACTAGATCCAGGAAGTCCACTTATTGGATCCTACACTGCAAAATCAGTTGTTAAAGGTAACTGATTATCCTTTTAGATGCTTATTGAGGTATGCTTATAAAATTTAAAAGCTGCAATCTTTACCTTCTTTAATTTCCACAGTGATTGACAACTCCTTAAGTGTTACATCTAGCGACTCTCCTTCCTCATTGAGTTTTACCGAAGGAGAAGCTCTCACTTTAACCTGCCATGCCTCCACCAACACCATCCAGCACGTCCATCTGTCTCTCGGCTGGTATCTCCGTAAAGATGGGGCCGAAGATGCTGAACCTATCATTTCTTTGGATAAAGATTTCCAGCTTACTCCTGGTCAGGGCTTTGAGCAACGCTACAGAAACAAAGCCATCAGGTTAGATAAAATAGGGGAGGCCACATACACGCTTAAGATAGCTGAGCTGGAGCTGTCAGACCAGGGTAAAATTTACTGCCAAGCCCAGGAGTGGATTCAAGATCCTGATCGTTCCTGGTACAGGATCGCTCAAAAGGATGCAGAGGAAATATCTCTTACAGTCAAAGCTAAAGGTAAGAGGAAACAATAATTTAAATTACTTATATGAGGCACTGAATTAGATGGCATGTTGTGAAATCAGCACACTTTTGTGGATTATTGACAAGAAGTACTTGGTATATTTTTTCTTTTACTCTACATAGTGGTTACAGACACGTCATCTTTGGATGTGAGTCTTTCTGCACAGAACGCACTGCAGGAGGGGCAGGTACTTACACTGTCCTGCAGGATCAACGCACAGAACCTCGCCACACGGCTCTTTTCTGTAGCATGGGTGTGGAAAGAATATGAGCTGGCACGGATTGGCCCTACAGGCATTCTGACTGTGAGTGAGGAATACAGTGACAGAGAGAGAGATGGGGAATTAAGAGTGACCCGGATTGGGAACGGACACTACCAACTAAAAGTACAGCCTGTGAAAACTACAGATGGAGGGAGTTATATCTGCAGGGCATGGTCGGAAGAGAGGAGTGAGGACGGAAACTTTCAACAAGGAGCAGCTCAGAACTCCCAACCACTGGATATCACAATCTCAACTCCAGGTTCATGGAAAATGCACACACACCGTCTTAAATACAACTTTACAGTACAGTATATGATTACAAATTCCTATAGTGACTTACAAATGTATTCACACCCTTTCAGACTGTACTTTTCTTGCATAAAACAACTTACTTTAATGAATTATTGTGTTTATTTACATTGGAATACAATGCAATAGTCGATTTTGAAGTGGATGCATGGTTTCAAATATTCTGTTTTTACAAAAAGAAATCTTAAGTGGTTTGCTTTCCCAGTTAACTCCCTTCCCCTACGTAAAAAAGCATAGTAAACATGTAACAAAGAGTGCTCTGGTCAGATTAGACCACCACTGACATTTTAAAGTTGTTGTTTTAAAGTTACTTAAAACTGGAGCAAGGGTTCTGGATCCAGTAGGTTAACCGCTCTAGACACAAAGCCAAACACGGTGGCTTATTCAGAGTCCAGATCGAAATCTGATGTAAGAAAATTGTGGCAAGAGTTAAGAATGGCCTTACTCTCAGATTCTCTGTTATTTATTGCAGTTATTTTCCAAAAAAGACAAACATTGCAGTCAGTAGATGTGCAAAGTTGGTATGACTATAACCTTCCAGACTTACAGTACAAAAAAATTATTTTCAAGATTTTAAAACCATGTTGTTTTCCTTTCAATTCATAAACGCCTTTTACTATGTGCAGTTCAATTATATGAAACCCAGTTTGATTAAGTAAATGATTCGCTTTAAAATTCAAAATTGTTCAGGGGCGATGAATACTTTTGTAAGAAAGATCTGTGATGATTAGAGGTAGCTGATAATAATATTGATAACATTTTGCCTTCTATCATCATCTTGTCAAACCCATTAATGTCTGCTGACTTATCTGCTTACAGAAAGTGGGCTTTTAGTCAAAATGCAAAACTTGAAGCAAAAAGTTTCCGAAGGAGAGAAACTGAGCCTCATCTGTAAGGTGGAGGGGATCAAAGGCCGGCTCTCTGTCTCCTGGCAACGCAAGCTCATGCAGACGCAGTCCCCTTTATTCACCACCATCATTAGTCTGAGTCAGAATGGTGTCATAGAAAAAACAGAAGCTTTTGTGACTCGTAAGGTGAGAGTGACACGTCCAGCAACACAAAGCTTTGTCTTTGAGATGGATGAAGCGAGACCGTTGGATTCAGGTATCTACGAGTGTGTTGTCACTGAAACGCAAACCAACGGCAAAACTCAAAGCCACTCTCAACGTGCCAATGTGACTGTGACTCCTATTGGTAAGATATGCATGTTTGTTTAGTGATTAACCTACTGATTTTTTTTCCAATTGTAGTTGAGTGTTTTAAAGGCATAATACTCTGTGATACTTGTGAATCCTTAAAGAAATTGTGATAAAAGTGATGAGAAAAAACTGTAGCTAAATACTAGTTTCAACAAATATCGGTTGATTTATTTTTGGAAGCAAATCTTATATGCATGTCGCAAAAATGATTATTAACCCAATAATACCAAAAAGAAGGAACTAAAATATTTGGGGATTTTTAATTTGCATTGGCAGTTTATCAGTGTTTAGTACCCTTTGTCTAATAATCTCTAGCTTCCTGTTTAGAAAAAAAAAATACAATGTTACACAGAGGAAAATTTCTCTGACCTATTTCTCCCAATTTTAACAGAAGTTTCAAATGCACTTTGGTTGTGTCCTATGTTTTGGTATCTGCTCTGAGGCAGGGCTGAACAGCGGCAAACAGAGCCCCAATGTCACATGAATAAACTGCTATTCACTGATTGGCTAGGGATGTGATTAGCAGTTTGTCTCTGGATGGGGAGAAATTAAAAGGATTGGCCAAGGAAGCAAAGAGATGGACAACATGAATTTTACCCCAAACTGCATTAGGAGAAGTAGGGGTGTGGGAAATAGGCTACTGTTTTATCTCATCATTTAATTTTGATAGCTGAGGAAAATATGGCAATATATAGTGATACTGCAATATCGTGATAATATCATATCGTGACCCAAGTATCGCGACATGTATCGAATCGCAACACTCATGCCAATACTCACCTCTAAGGAGAAGGGGCTAAAGAACCCATAGCGATTATAAAAAGATTGACCACAGTTGGTTAAACCAGAAGCCATGTGCAAAGATTGAGACTTATTTTTTAAAACATTGTATTTTTGTCTTGACCGCCGATAATGCACTGCAAAAATGATCTAAAAATGAGTAAAAATGTCTTAAATTAAGTGTATTTACTCTTAATTTGAGCAGGTAAATAAGAGGATTTGCCAATGGAATGAGTATTTTTACTCCTATTATAAGATAATTAGATATCATGCACTTGAAATAAGATGATGCATTTTTTTTCTTATTTTAATTGTAAATTGTCTTGTTCCATTGGTAAAGTGTCTTACTTGTCTACTTAATTCAAGAAAAAATGCGCTTATTTTAAGAAATAAATTACTTACTGAGCTTAAAATTTTTTGCAGTGTACCAAACAAAGGCATCTAATTAGGTTTCCTGGAAGTTAAAGAGTATAACTTAGCTTTTTACAAATCATGAGCCATGCCTGAAGGCTGAAGAAAAGAAAGAGGACATTAGCTTTCTGAATAATACGCAGAAACATTTCATAACAACTCAAGCCAGCTGGTCACACACAAAATCAGCTGAATCAGAAGCTTTTTTACATTAAAGTGAAATGAAAAATCCTGAAGTATTGGTCTAAAAAAACAATGAATTTAATGTAAATATGATTTTTCTTGCTATTTTAGAGACCCTGGTCAAAGCGTCACTGAAGAGTCGAGAACCCACCGTGACTGTAGGAAAGAACTTAGATTTAATGTGCAAGGTTTTTGAAATTCCAAGTATGCCAATTACTCTGACTTGGAGTCAACAGACAGATGACTCTAACTTAAATACCATCCTGGTTTTGTCAAATGGTTCCATCAGCTGGTCCGGAAACCAGCACCGTTACCAAGTGGAGGTGAACAAACAAAGGGACTCTGTCATGTACTATCTTAAAATCCTTGGTGCAAGCCACAAGGAGGCAGGAACTTACCAGTGTAGGGTGTCAGTTTTCCTGGATAATGTATACAAAAAGCTTCTTCCATCCAACCCCCTGAAGGTGCAAGTCAATAATCCAGGTAATGCAGATATTTGACATGCTACATAACGCTATTTTACTTATTTTCTATTATTCTTTCTACAGTTGACTTTTTATTACATATTTTTCTCTCCCTCTTATAGAAAGCAAGCTTGCCCTATCATCTAAGCCAACCATTATGCAACGCATCAACACTGATATACAAATTGTTTGTAAAGTTACCTCAGCAACATCTCAGTCTTCTCTATATGCCGTCACCTGGGACCTCCAACAAGAAACTGGAAGTAAAAGAATTTTGAGCTCAGATCAAAATGCTCTCGTTACTTTTGGGCCAGAGATTGAGGAGAGTCACCAGCAACGCATCAGCATGGGCCGCACTTCGGGCCCTAACTTTGAGCTAACTATCAGACAAGCCAGAATGTCAGACAAAGGAGTTTATGTGTGCAACGTGGCTGAGTATCTACAAAATCCACTGGGAGAGTGCTATTTACTCTCAGAAAAAAATTCAAACACAACCCTAGACGTTACTGAGCCTGGTAAATTTCTTTTTTTTTTTCATTGAAAAATTCTCATTTTGATTAACATTATCATATAATGCTTGATTTGAATGTCTTTTCAGTTTTGCTTCTGTCTTTTCCTAGCTATTTGCCTTATATTAGATAAAAACTCCTTACCCCCGAAAAATCCATATTCATAGCTTTATACATTTCTTTAAATTAGTTTAAGTACAAACATACTAGAAGTAACTGTAAATCTACTTTCTTACTATGTGTCAAAGATCCCTATTGAGATAAGTCTTGGTCTTTCTAATAATATCTTACCTAAGACATTCTTTAATTGCTATGTCTAATTGTTAGGGACTGTAGAAGAATATCCACCCAAGTCTTTTACAGTGTTTTTCCGGTTTCTTTCCAGAATTTATCTGAATTTACCTGAATTCAATTTCCCATTTATCTTTTTTTGCATTTCTACATGACTGCTGAATAACATAATTCCCTCAGCTTGATGCTGCCACTACAATGTTTCACAGTGAAGAGGGTGTGCTCAGTGTGATGTGCAGTTGTAGTTTTCTGTCACAGCATTTTGCATAAAAAGTTGCATTTTGCCCTAATCAGACTTCAACACCTACCTCTAGATTTCTACTGACTGATTTCCCGTGGAGACTCCTCCAAAATTTCCAGTTTGTAAGATGCTAAGCTAATAAGGGATTCTCCCACATAAGCTACGGATCTCTGCAGCTCTTTCTGAGCTGGGCTTCTTGGCTTCTGGAAATATTTGAAATCAGTTAGTTGATTCGAATGAAGCAGTTTAGAAAAATATACATAGTGGTTTTGAAGAAAAAAAGAGCTGTATACAAATTCATGCAACAATTTAATGTGATTTGGGTTGTTTTTAAGCTAGTGTGGATTTTTCCTGGAATATGTTAATACATTTAGCTAGATAATAGAGACATTAGCTCTGTTCTCTAGAAATACATAATGGCTATATGTCTAGGTTATGATAAAGTTCTCAAAGCCAAAGTAGTAAGTGTCATCCCCTAATTTGCCATGTTATAAGTGCAGTTGGTGTCTGCAGGATGGCAGCTTTTTTTCTTACCCTTGCACCTAACACTTTCTGTCTTTGTATTGTTATCCTAATAAAAGCAAGATCTGCTCACTGCCCCTTATTATTTTACGTTTATTTTCTCCTTTACCATATCTTCTGTTGCACTTATTTCAGTTAATTTCCATATTTGCCTTTTTCTCTAGCTTGTTAAGTTTTGCTTATTGATTCTTTGCCTCATTCAGATGTTGTTGAATCCCATGTTTCAGTTTTTTTTTATTTTGTATGTATTTGTGTTTTTTTTTTTTTTACAGAAGCACAATTGTCCATTCAAAACATAGAGACAGTGAAGAATATAAGCATTGCAGAGGAATTTTCCATTCCCTGCCATATCACCCAACAATCCAGCAATGACTCCCAGTTCCAGGTCAAATGGTTTTGGCAGAGAGGCACTGAAGCTACACCCATGTTTACAGCTTACAGAAATTCAACCTTACAAGTCGGCGTTGAGGATGTTGCTGTGATGTATGGCCACCCCCTACCTGGTCAATTCAACCTTAAAGTTTCAAATACTAAGCCTAGAAACAGTGGCTTGTATTTCTGTGAAGTAGAAGAGTGGGTTTACTCTCTTGCTTATGGGTGGAGAAAACTTGCAGTGGAAAGGTCTGGTAAAATGAACATAACTGTTGGTGCTGAAGGTAAGCTCTCTTCACCTTCCAGCTACTTTCCTCTTTAGGGATGTTGCAATCACTTATGTTGAAACATGTTTTTTATTACCTTTTTTTTTTTTTTTACAGGGGATGCCAAAGCTCTGGCTGGTTCAGAATGCATGGCTAATACTTGGATAGCAATATTTGCAGTAACTGTCATCATCTTGCTCTGCATCATAACAATTCTTCTGGTAAAAATCTGCAAGTCAGGGAAGAAGTCAGATCCATCTCTCTGGCCGGAAAGGCACGCGCTAAAACCTGGACCAGAATACTGAAAGACTGAAACTAGAAGGACCAGCAGGAAAAGTTAAAAAAAAGTAGGAAATGTGTACAAAAGAAAATGCTTTAGATTTGAAAAGGTTTACAGTGTCTTAGTTTTGTTTTTATTTTTTTTATAAAGTCTATAATGAGTTAAACATTTTTTAATTGCTGTGCTGTTGAGATTGTATTGATTTTAATGAATTATTTGTCTTTGTTTTTGTATTGTGCCTTATTATTATTGCACGGTAATGCAGTTTTTAGTGCTGTTTCCTTGCAAAAAGAAGTTCACAGGTTTGATTTCTAGCCCGGGGTCTTTCTGCATGGAGTTTGCATGTTGCCTAGACTGCTGGAGATAGGCACCAGCCCCACTGTGACCCTGATAGAGTAAGAGAGAAAAGATGGATGGATGAATGGATATTTCTCTGAGTGATTGTGACTTTCATGTTTGACTTCAAACTAAGAGTTTTAGGATATTAGCTAATGTTAGGTAAACAAGCATTTCTAAGTGCAGAAATTTTCAATGAAGAAACTTGAAAAAGGCAACTGATAAACTTTTTGGTTTTATAGATTCAAAAACATTACTGGTTTATGTTACAAAATGTAAAAACTATTTTTTTATTTTTTGAGACAGCAACTAAAGCTCAGCATTTTCTAGAACATCACAAGATGAAATGGGATAAGATTTGAAAAATGTTTTCGTGACACAAGAGAAAAAAACGGACGTTGTCTGCGGTTTTGCACAGGATGACGGCTGACTGTCAGCAAAGCTGTCCCAGGACAGATGCTTTCATAATCAGATAATTTATTTACTGTTGTAAAGAAAAAAAAAAGCTGGGGCAGGTTTGGTCAAACTGGATATATCTTTAAGGTGCTGGAAACAAAACACTGTCCAAAGGGAAAAAAAAAAGAAAAAGGATTTCCAACACTTCTATCTGTCCACGAACTTTGCACAGATACCAGTGTGTTGAAGTGTTTGCAGTTCCCTTTTGTTAACAAAGAGCCAAGCTTGCAGTTGTGGTTGCAAGCCCTATTTTGCAGCTCTTCTGCTTAAATTTGACCACAGAAACATTTCCTTTTTCATAATTTGTACTGCACTTTACTGTGCAGCGACTGTATGGAAAGATTGTGACATGTTTTTAACCTGTTTTGTACGTTTTTAAAATAAACAGCATTTGTGAAATTCTTTTTTATTTGTCTTCTTTGGTTACTATTTGTATCGTTTTCCCATCCTCCACATTTAACTGAAAATTGAAAGAAACTGCAGCATCAGTCAAAATAGCAAATATTTCAAGGTGTCTTTAAATTTTACACTAGATGTAATATAACGACACGATACGACTGAAATTCTGGTTCTTAGGAATGTTGATAAATGAAACGATTCATGATTGAAGAACTTTTTCTATTCTCAGGCATACTAATCCACTTATATCTATGGAATTTATTAGAAATAGGAATCGTTATAGACCTGCCACTTTTTAAAGTGTCTCTTTAGCTCTTGACATTCTCTTTATTGCATAACAATAGCTGTGTTCTTGGGTAAGCCTGCAAAGCATCAGAGGGATCTTTTTGTCAATACATGTTGGGCAAAAGATAAACTATTTTGCATGTTCTCCCCATGGATGCGTTGTTTCTCTCCGGGTACTCCGTTTTTCTCCCTAAGTCCAAAAGCGTGACTGTTAGGTTAATTGACCTCTCTTAATTGTCCTTAGGTGTGAGTGTGTGTTCATGGTTGTGTGACTTCATGTGTCCTTGTGCAGCCCTGAGACAAACTAGTAACCTGTCCCCGCATCTCGCCCATAGACTGTTGGAGATAGGCACAAGCCCCACTGTGACCATGACAGGGCTAAGGGGTAGAAGATGGATGGCTTGATTGATGAATGGACATTATATATAATCACCCGTATCTACATGGGTCTTGATACATTTTTGTGTAATTTTGTAAAGCCAAAGTATTTTTGCTTCTGGCAAGATGTATTTTTGGATGTTTGTGAATTCCCAAATCTCACGAATATTCATCTTGTTTGACCTCAATAAAGATCATACCTAAAACATTTTTTCTTTGTTATAAGACAAAGAGAAGGATAAAAGGAAATAGGGGATTACAGAAATGTCATGACGCTTTGATTTCCCCACAAGGAAGAACAGGGGTATCAAAATATTCAGTCACCACAAGATATAGTTACTATGTATGATGTCTTTTTAAGCACCATTGGTTTGCATTGGATACAACCGTACATCAAACATATCCATTTTCTATGTCAGTTAATGATAATAAGACATGTCACCCAACAGTTTCAGAAATTCCAAGATGGCTGATTACACCCCAGAGGAGGGTACAGTACCAGCATCCTGGACATGCTTTTAATATTTGCATCATATCTTTGGAGAACAGTCTGACAGTGATAGAAGTTTATTGGCTACATAGATGGAAAAGTCCCTGATGTACATTAGGCCCCATTTGAATTTTTTACCTCTCTAAACTTTGTGTTTTACCTACATCTTTAGGGAGCTCTGAGGATGGCCTGCACATAGCCTTTCCAAGCTCAAACTAATAAAGAATTATCTGGGTTCTTGTATGCTAGAAGAATGACTAAGAGGACTGGCGGCAGCTAATGTTTTTTTTTTTTTTTTTACAGCACTAGTGGCTTGTTTTTTCAAATAACAACGTGACAGGAAAGGCGGTATGAGAAAGGGGGAGAGACATGTGGGAAAGGACCAAAGGCCAGACCCGAACCCGGGTCGGCCACACCGAGGGCCAAGGCCTCCGCACATGGGAGGAGCTGTCCTCTGAAGGGAGTAGTACACACCGTTGAAGGAAATCTTCAATTTCTCGCGTGGAATAGCCTTCTTTCTAAGAACAAGAATAGACTGTCGAGTTTCAGATGAAAGTTCTCTTTTTCTGGCCATTTTAGCGTTTAGCGTTGGAGTGATAGTTGCTGGAAATGGGCCTCTATACACCTATGTAGATATTGCACCAAAAACCAGACATTTGCAGCTAGAATAGTCATTTACCACATTAGCAATGTATAGAGTGTATTTCTTTAAAGTTAAGACTAGTTTAAAGTTATCTTCATTGAAAAGTACAGTGCTTTTTCTTCAAAAATAAGGACATTTCAATGTGACACCAAACTTTTGAACAGTAGTGTATGTATTTTTAAATATGTTCTTAAATAGGTATTATTGCCATGCTTAATGCTAAACATAGGTTTCTTTCACACATATATTTCAAATCATAATAGTTTTTCTACACCATTATCCTGAAACATCATAAGTGTAACAGAGTCATTTAATGATAATTAAAAAAAATTATATTTAAGAAAATGACAGAAAACACATATATCCTCTCTAGCTTTGGTTGTGTTACATGTGTCACAAGTCCAAACTCTTTTACCCCCTTTAACTTGAATTTCACATTTTATCCTTAAGTGTAGTGACTTCAAAGCGTTAAAAAACAACCCGCAGAGACTGAAAGTGGAGCTAATTATGCTAAGACACATAAGCAGCAGGTGGAGATGCTGAAAGATGTTTTAAAGTCTTAAACACTCATTTACTTCTGCTTCTTGTTTTACAAATAGTCATCATTATCAGACCAGTCCTTAACAAGAGTCTCTTTCACTACACAAATAATTTAATAATGTTTAGATAACTTTGTAAATTAGCTGTCACTGAATCTGTTAATTGATTAAACACCGAAGGGGATGGAAACTCCATTACACTACAGACTTTGCCAGAGATTCGTCCCCCCCCCCCACAAAGAAAAAAAAAAAAAAGATTTATAACATAGACTGTAATCTGTTGTTCTTTCAGACTGAATCTTGATCAAAAACTGATAGACTCAAAAATGATAGACATTTCTGGTTTGTAAAGTGAAACAATGTTAAAAATGTAAAAACTTTTCCACAGCACTGCAGTCATAATAGTTATATGTACTAGCAAGTAATCTCACCTAAACCAAATTGGTGTTTGCAGTACTTAGAGTACTTTGACCTTGTTATCTCTGCTCATTTCATTCCACATTTGATTTGACATGATGACTCAATGTGTGCTTGAATTCAATTTCAATGAAAGCATTGATTGAATAGTTTATAATGCATTATTGAATATTTTAATATGTTATAAGCTAAAATAGAAAAGCTTTTCATTTGCTTGCTTTAGGAAAATGTAATCCCAGACACACCTACTGTTTGTTGCTCAGAGACAAACAGTAGGATCAGTGCGTAAGAGCACTAAACATGACTGGTTGGTCATCAAACAATAAAAAATCTCTTCACTTTTTCAGAACACTACAACTAACAACATCACAGATTCAAAGACTATTCCAAAAACTGCTCAGAGCCATGTGCTTTGTGCTCAGTCAGAAGAAAGGCCACAGATAAGTTAAGCTTGCAATTTCAGAAATACACATATTTGACGCTTATTAGATCTTTTTATTTTGATATCTTTTTAAATATACATGCACAGTCGACGGATATATTAGAAGAGATATCCTACCGAAAAGGACTTATTTTTAAGATCAAAATAATGCTCAACAATAAATCTAAATTGAAAAATCCCTTGATGGTATAGGCTCAAATAATGTTACTATAAAGACACAAAAAATTTAATCTCTAAGATTTTATCCATAAAAGTCCAGCCCATGTTTATAGGAACTTCATGTTATAAGGCTATTTGTTTTGTTTTGGAACTTGTCTTTCTGGATTATGGACATATCAGAAAAGAACATGAACTATCTTGACTTTCTCTTTCAAAATGTTCCAATGTTTTCCTAAAGCGCCACCATGTGGTCCATCAGTAGATGTGTCTCAGGAATAATTGGATTGTCTGTTCATTCATACATTTTCTATACCTGCTGCTTTTACACTAGGAGAGACACAGGGTGAGACACTCCATACAAGGACAGCATGCATATTCTATATAAAAACTTCATCACAATTATTCATATTCCATATAGAAACACTTGAGAGAAAAGATTTAAATTCAGGAATTCTTGTGGGCTAAAGTAGAGCTCAAGATATCTCTTTTTGCATGCAGCTCAATTCAAACTAAGAAAAAAGTC